TCATACTGCAGTCTCAGCATGAACATGTATGACCACATTGACATGGGCACCGGAACTGAAAACCGTGCTGCGAGATGCCAAAGCCTCGGTTTCATCAGGCCTGGCGTTGGGACAGCGCCTTTCCTCGACCCCAAGCCCAAGCCTCCGAGCCGCTTCTGCAGCCAAGAGGACTACGCTTCGTCGACGCAGCAATGCAGATGAAGGCAGCAGCAAGACGAGCCAGCTAAGCCAGAAGAGAAGCCTTAGATGGGCCATTGAGTGGCAGCGAATTGTCAAAGTCTGAGAGTGACGTGTTTCGTGGCGTAGATACCGGAGAATAACCTGGTCTTCACATGCATAAAGGAAAAGTACTCCATGCCTAAACCACTGAGCAGAATAACGGATGACAGTCTGGATGAGCTGTGCCCAGTCCGACTGGGAAGCAGCAGCATCTGGTAAGCCTTGACTTATCCTCAAACCTCCCGGGTAGCAGCATTTCAGGTAGACTGTCTCTTGCAGGTCCGGTGTAGACGGACATTGGACATAGCCTACAGCCAGGAGACTGGAAACTGACACCGGGTAGCATGTTCGGAATCGGATGTGCCCAGCGCACGGTCCGTTGGCGCAGGTAGTTCGTGATTGGATCGTGATTGTCTCTGAGCCCAGATGCACAAACCCGGCACAGCGATCTCAGTCACAGACGCTAAACTGTTGAAAAAACGCCTCTAGCAAGCCGTAACATGCCTTCAGCAAGCCGTTTCGAAACCGCGAACCCTGTCTCTGTCGAGCATTGCCTCAAATCTTATGTACGCCAGGCTCGTATGTGAACGTAAACGAAATCTGAGCAAGTACAGACAACACCTCGGGTCGAGCATTAAGCAGGCGGATGCACCACATGGCCGATCACGGAGGCAGGGGCCCCCATCCGAGGCAAGCACGCAGCTCTGCGGGTCTCGTGCTTGTCGCTAGGGTTGCAAGGAGTGAGGTGGCTCCAGAGGCGGAGCAGCTAATGCGACTTGATGCCTAACTATGGATCTCAGGAGCTAGAAAACCTAAAGAAGGAGCTAATTCTTACACATAGAAACTTTGGAAACCCACAGCTTGCACCATGTTTGGAAGCTCCCATTCAATGCTGAGCCAGTTGGGGACATGAAAACAGTTAGAGGATACCTTGCCCAGTTTGGGCTATCTTCTTGTCCAACACGAAAAACTCGAACCTCCATGATTGGGGTTGGCTGTGCTTACAATGACTCAGTGGCTGGCATATGGAACAGCTGAAAGCAAAATGAAAATAGGCAACGTCACGGCTCCGAATGCAGGCCACGTAAGTGCGCAAGCGACTTGTGAATGAAACTTGCTTGGGTGCAAACTCACAGCAACTGCTGCAGATCTTTTTCTCTTCTTGCAAACGTGGAAGTGGGGGTAAGAGGGGGGCGGCCAGGGAAAGTTAGAAGCTTGCAAGAGCCTTCGGGTGGCTTTCTGAGGAGCCACGACGATAGGCTCCAAGTCCTTCAAAGGCCCCCTTTGGGGGGGAGTGTCGAGTTGTCGAATAAGCGAAGGCATCGCTTGGGCCTTCCTGGGCCGGCACCAACTCCAAGAGCCTCTGCCCAGGTCGCATCACTGCCTTCTTGTCGACAGCGACGCGTTGACTCAGCGAACAGGGCTTCTTGCGCTTCCTGCGCGCAACGTGCTTTCGCAATTTGGTGCTTCTCCGCTGGCAGCACAGAACAAATTGACAGCCAGGACAAAGATAGACACTCACATGCAAACAAGAGGGCGCAGAAAGCAAACACGTCAACAAGCACGATGCAAAAAGGCCACAGAAGCCCCCCATCAACCCTCCACTAGTGCCCGCCCACATGCGCACACAAGACGCTTGCATCGAATCGTAAGCTTTGCTTGATGTGAGGATGCCAGGTACTCTGTGCAGAAAGAGGTTTCTGCCAGCAAGACCAAACTTGACACCGGACGGCATCGGCTGTGCAATTATGAATAACTCGGCCGATGGCCCCAGACTTTGATATCGTGATGGACTTTGTCTGGCGAGAATTTCTCGGGCACTATTGCTGTTTCATTGGAGTCAAGAGCTGCAGCCCCAACTTGCGTGGGATGGAAGTCAAGAGCCTTACTAAGCAGAGAAGCACACCCGTGACAACTTTGGCGAATCCAGATCAGAACCTGTCATGAGAGCCAGAACATTACTGGAAAAATCGCCTACCCAGTCATCAGCAGCACGCAAAATGTGCACCGCACCACAGCAGGAGCTGCAAGTTTGGGAATTCTCTTTACTCTGCACGTAAGAACTCCATTGTGTGCACATGTGTGCACTGCGTTACTTAGGAAACATAGCTGGTCGAAAAATGTCACACACACACAGACATACACTCAGACAGACACACACACACACAGACACAAATGCAGCTCAACGCAGTCAACAAACTCGAGGAAGAGACGGAAACTAGGAGAGACGGAGAACAAACGGAAACAAGAGAGCGGTGCTTTTCCATCTTACTTTAGTCTCAAGCTCTCTGAGTCGCAGCCCCTTTTCAAACCTCCTTTAAAAATTCTGGTGCTCTGGGCCTCTGGGCCAACGTGGAAGCACGCTCCACTCCTCTCAGCTCAGATCCCAGGGGTGCGGGCAGGCCCGCTTTCCGAAAGCCCCAAAACACACTGAGGGCTCGGGCGAGGCGCTTGTGGCCAGGCGAAGGAACTAACGAGTCCGGCTCGTTGTTCTAACGATTTCTATCCGACCAACCGAGTTTTGATAATGGGCAATAGACGTGAAAGCACTCGACTCGTCTTCGCCCCCTAGGCGTGGTCGGCCCCTGCTCTGGTGGCAAGTCACCTGGCGCCGCAGCTTGGCGGGGAATCCGCAAGGGTTCACATGGAGGAGAAGTTGCAACTGCACCGCCTCAGCGGCATGAGAGCATACCAAAGTCCAATTGCATCTTGGATGCTCCACATGCTGTAAAAAACACACTGCTGCTCCTTCGGATGTTCCAAATACACTACTCTTGTCCTCTCGCAGTCCCCTCCCCCCTCGCACGTCCAATTCTCATGTTTGGCATGATGTACCTCAAAGCAAGCCTGCAAGGATTGAAAAACAACTGGTGGCTCGGGTGCGTCGGGTGCACCCCCCGTCGGCAAGCACAGGTCTCATATCACGGGTGCGGAAATGACCGATATGGTTTTGTGCTGGAATGATTAGCCAGCTTGCAAAGCCGGAAACAAGCGGTGTTTGTCGGTGACCGGGGGTAGCGCAGCTGCCCCCAAACACAGTGCTCGTATGGCGGGCTTGCGAACGACTCATGTGGAATTCGAAGCAACTTGTCGTGATGGCGTGACGTACGTTAAAGCAAGTGTGCAAGGTCTTGAAGAAAGCCGCGGGAGTGGGGGGGATGCAGTCTCACTTCACCTTGTATTTACAAGACTTCCTGTAAATGTGTACGTTCCTTAGTTATGTCTCTTCGTTGTTTGCTTGCTTCTGCGTGATTTTACAATGACTGAATAAGTGCTTTACTGTCTTGGTGGGTTGTGATGCCTTCCATTGCTCCATCGGGTGTTTCTACCAACCTATATCCTAACTAACACTTACGAGTATGTTAAGAAAAGTTGCTGCGTTTGCTGCTTTCGTTCTGCATGTTGTGCATTCTGTTTGACACAAGCTTCATATTTGGATTATCCACTAATTTGACTGGTCCGTTATGGTTCTAGTGGGTTTCCACTGTTTCATCGGGTTTTCTACAGAACCTACACCCTAAACATATGGTCATACTGGCATATCCGGGCCGGCACAGGGGTTTTAGGGGTAGGGATAGGGGTTTAGGGGCTTGGTGGTTAGGAATTTGGATGGTTAAGGATCGTTAGGTCAAGTTTCGGGGTCTGGGGGTTGAGATTTAGGGGTTGAGGGCTTGCCACATTTCAGGGTTTTGTAGCAATGGGGCTTGAGGTGTTTGGTTCGTGGATTGGAAGCTTTATTGATTGAAGAATTTTACAGTAATGTTTGCGAAAACACATGTTGAAGGGTGTTTTCTCTGAGTTTTCTGAGATCCTGTGAGTTTGAGCATGCTTCAGCGCCTTAACAGGGTTTGCAGGCAGGCGAGCATCTCCTCAATGTCCAGGCGCCGTGCTCGACGAGCGCCGGCCCAAGAAATAGTGGAAACATGCACTCATCCACTTCTGTCCTTCTGGAATAGAACACCCAACAATGGTGACCACCAGCTAAATCTTCTCGGATGTCGTCACCCCGTGCACCGAGGCTAGTTGACCGCGTGCTGCAGCTCTCACGAGCCTGACAGAAACTGCAGGCCCAGAAGCATTCCTATTAAGAAAGGGCGTTCGGCTCTTGTGCACCAGACCATACCAGAACCGCGCCCCAACGCCTCTACCTCATTTGGCCTGCGCCCTGCAGATCTCTAATCAGGCTCTGTAAGCTTCCACGTCTTAGACGGCGGAAGATGTCGAGCGCTCGGTTTGCCGGTCCGAGAACGCTGTAGAACTAAAGACAGCTTTCCTGAAAGCGCTGCAGGTCTGGCACTGTAGCTCTTCGGGAACGCAGGACCTGACTTTAGACAACCTCCGCCTGCAAACCCAACGGCTAATGCCGTTGAAGTTGAATAAAGATCATGGATGCTGGTCAGTCAACATCTGAATGTGGAAGTCGGAACATCTTGATCTTCTGCCCCAAGCTCGACACCCGGTGCGTGTAAATCAGTACCAGCTTCTTGGACAAGGACAGAGAATGCAAAGTGGGGCGCTGCAGGTTTCAGACTTCAGGATAACGGATAGTGCAACCTTCTGTGCCCACTCTAAATTGGCAAGGTGGATTCTCCAAGCAAACCGAAGGAATGCCGGCAGTGGGTCAACCTCTGCGTACTGTTCGCACTGCTACGAGAAAGCCATGCAACAGAGGAATGTAGAAAACATACATACACACACCAAGCGCTGTGGCTGAAGCCCTTGGTGTCATGTAGAATTGCATGTGCTTTCGCAAGAAACCTTCAGATCAGCCTGCGTCACAATCAGCTCACAAGGAGCAAGAAAACTGCTGCTTGCCCAATCATGTGAGCCGTTGCCTTCCTCGGTCCAGGGACGAAATTAGTGTAACCGGTGACTCCAAGCACAGGGTGCAGCAGTTGCTTGTCGCTTTCATCGTGGCCAAAGAGAGGAAAACAACTGGCGACCACACGGAACACAGACAAAACCGTGCATAGCCGTAGCCTCCACGCCTCGCGTCACAAGCTCCGGGCAGAGTGCCAAGCCCCAAAAAAAAAACAGGAAAACAGCTCCAAACAATGAACGGGGCACTGTCAGCCGTCCGTCCCTTGACCCCCGAGCCCCCGATATTGAAGATATTGAATTTTTTTGGAGAATATCAGGCAACGCAAGCTACTTCCAATATGCCCAGCAGGCTGCGACAGTTCGTTCTCGTCCACATCCTCCGGGTTGCACACGAAAGGCTCGGTGGTGTCGTCCAGGCCTCCAGCTGTAGCTGTCTCCGATTCCCTGTTTCCCCAAAAAGGAGACACGGAATCTAATTCTACCGCTGAAACAAGACCTTCAGGAATTGTCACTCCAATCCACATTTGGCCGTCTCCTCTCTCCCTCTCTCTCTCCCTCACTCTCCTTCTCCCCCTCCTTCAGCACAAACAAAAGCGTCTCTGTTGCCGTCTTGTGCTTCTTCTCTGCAGGCTGTTCGTCGAATGATCATGCTGCGTGAAAACTCGAAGACTCGAAAGTCTTTGAAACGCTCAACGGCTGGATCAACAGCAAAAAACGCCGTGTCCATCAGAGGGTTGAATCACTGAATCACCGGTTCGATCTACAGCCGGGCCCCTGGCGCCCTCCCGCGTAGATCGCCATGAGATCCCCATTGGGGACCTGGGGGTGACGACTCTGGAGCGAACTAGGTTTGCAAAAAACCTCTGAATTTGTGAAAGTACCTTACCAAAAAGCCCCCAAATGCACCTAATCACACCTGGCAGGCCATGCACGAACCCGGATGACCACACGAGAATGGGTGTAAGAGCAGCCCTGAAGAAAATCATTTTAGTTCGAACATCCCCACCCTACAGATAATGCATTTGCGAGGCCTACACAAACTATTGTCTAGGCCAACGGCAACAAAATACAGGGGAGGGCAGCTTCGTTGCACAGATTGAGCTTTGGATACTTCTGAACCAAAAGCAAAAGCACGCAATTCTTGATTTTCGATGGTTTTATGCTCTGAAAGCCATGCTAAAACGTCCATTCGGGTCTTGCTGAGCCTAAATTTCGGGTAGCTACCGACAAGCGGATTCGCATGGCGACCATTCGGTCTGGCAACCTCAATTTCGGGTTTAATTAACCTATCTGATTATCAGAAACACATGGCTGTTTAGAGCCTTCAAAACCATGCAAAATGGTATTTTGAAGCGCGCATTTCTTGATTTTCGATGGTGTTATGCTCTAAAAGCCACGCCAAATCGTCCATTCGGGTCTTGCTGAGCCTAAATTTCTGGAGTAGCAACTGCCGTAGCTAACCA